CTCCACCCGTATCGGTAGCCAGGGTACCGTCCGTCGCCAGGGTATGTGAAGAACGAATTCTATCTTTCCATTGATATCAAATACTAACACCATGTCCAGCCGTCGATGTGTCTCCTCTCCGTCGCGTGAACCAGTCCATCTCTCTGCTCACCATCGGTGCTCGCGAGGCCTCTTTCCGCAACATCAAGAGCATTGCTGAGTGCCTTGCTGAGGAGCTGATCAACGCCGCCAAGGGTTCTTCCAACTCCTACGCTATCAAGAAGAAGGACGAGCTCGAGCGTGTTGCCAAGAGCAACCGGTAAAGGGGTTGTGTTGGATTTGTTCTCCGTTTGGTCCTCTGTTTGCGTATACTGGAGTGGACGGGGTTTTAACCGGGATTCAGTGGATTCGCATGCATCTGCAAGGCTGTACATAATGTGATACAGTCAAGGAGGAAGCACGATCTTAAAAGGGAACGCATTCGGACGGTTTTCTTTGTAGTTGTGATGCGATCATGAAGACCTTGGGGTCGTAAAGACCTATTTCCTAAAAAGAAAAAATTTCTTTTATTCGTTTTTGAATGGATCTAGCAAATATACGTAGAATAGTTGAAATGATCAAATGCCTAATGTTTATATGCAAAGGTACAATTTGACTTGATATTGATAGTTCTAGCCAAATCCGATATTGCCAAGGTTGAGATTTTCCATCGCTTATCGATACGGAGAATACGGAGAAAAAAAAGTTCGGACCTCCTACCCTTTCCCTACCACCACATTCTTTATTTCCAACTTCAAAATGGTGAAAAGAAAGCTTGGGGCCTTGGAAAAGGTCGAGGCTGACCTGTATGTATATCTTGTCTGAGGGTGCGCCCGTGATCAATCGGTTATAGTGGAGGCTTCAAGTCCATGATGGCTAACATCTTTCCTTGCGATTCGCAGGCCCAATTTGCAGCACAAGATTCGCAGGGATCCCAAGTAAGTTATACGCAGATGTTTTCTATGATCTATTGCACTCGATCGGGGGTTAATTGTTACTTTGCGCTATTCAGGTCTTATATCGAAGATTTCCGCGCCCAACACTACCAATATGAATCCCATCGCGAGATTTACATGGCGGCGCCCTCATCTGCTACGGATACCGGTCTGATTTCTCTCCGGGATCTCATTGACTTCATTTCCCATGTGGCCGACTGTTACCCAGGGATCTGTAAAGATTTCCCGCAACAGCTCATTGACATGCTCATGCAGCATCACTTGGTGTTGGAGACAGAGTTGCGGGAGAAGCTGGTTGGAAGTTTGGTGCTTTTGAAGAAGAAGGATCTCTTGGATTCAGCAACGTACGAAGACCTACTCTCATGACTTCCCTGCTATCGATTCTAACCGCTACTACAGGCTACTCCACACCCTCTTCCCCATCCTCATCTCTACGCCTAGCAAGACCCTGCGGGCTCTGCTCTTCCAGAAGATCCTCTCTGAGCTGCGCACCGCAAATTCAAAGACCACTAACCATAAGCTGAACCGAACTATGCAGACCGTTCTGTTCAACTTGGTCACATCAGACCGCACATCAGCTAAAGGTCTGTGGGCGATCAAGATCACCAGAGAGCTATGGAAGCGCCAAATCTGGACAGAGGCCAAGGCCGTTGAAGTCATGAAGGAGGCAGCTTTGTCGCAAAATGAGAAGGTCATTATCGGTGGAGTCCGCTTCTTCCTCGGTGGCGATAAGGAGCGCGAGGAACTGGAGGACGAAGACAGTGAAGAAGAGGTCAATGTTGGCCAGGTTAAGCACCAACTTACTATCAACAAGAAGACCAGAAAGAAGGCCCGTGCCGCCGAAAAGGCTATCAAAGCGGTCAGGAACAAGGAGCGTAAGAAGGGTAATCCTAGCCCGCTCAACTTCTCCGCGCTTCATTTGCTGCACGATCCCCAGGGATTCGCTGAGAACATGTTCTTCAAACATCTCCAGAACGGCAAGTCCAATTTGAAGCTGGAGCAAAAGCTCCAAGTCCTACAACTGGTCTCCCGCCTGGTCGGCTTGCACAAGTTGCACATCATGCCGCTTTACTCTTACTTCCAAAAGTTCCTCACGCCCCGCCAACCTTCTGTGACTTCATTCCTGGCATCCCTGGCCCAAGCCTCCCACGACTTGGTACCGCCTGATGTACTCGAGCCTCTGGTTCAGAAGATTGCAAACGAGTTCGTCTCCGAAGCATCTGCAGGTGAAGTTGCGACGGCTGGTCTGAATGCCATCCGTGAAATTTGTGTCAGACAGCCTTTGGCTATTGAAGAGACCCTGTTGCAGGATCTTGTCATGTACAAGAAGAGTAAGGATAAGGGTGTTATGATGGCCTCCAAGGGTCTCCTCAGTCTTTACCGTGACGTTGGTGCGCAGATGCTGAAGAAGCGTGACCGTGGCAAGGAGGCCGCAATGAGTCTGCGCGCTGGCGAGAGACAGGAGAGACGTTACGGTGAGCAGGCAGTCGGCGAAATTGAGGGCCTGGAACTGTTGGCCAAGTGGAAAGATGAGGAGCGCCGCAAGAAGAACATCGAGAATGGTCTTCCATCTGATGCCGAAGATAACGAAGAGGAGGATGATGAGGCCGACTGGGCAGCCTGGAACGTCGAAGATGATGAGGACAGTGATGTCGATGGAGAATGGATCAATGTGGAGGACGATGTTGATATTGTACTAAGCGACTCCGAGGATGAAGGCAAGCCGGCATCAAAGAAGGCCAAGCAGGAAGAAGAGGACAAGAAGGACGCCGACAAAGAAGCGGAAGCCGCCAAGGAGATTGATTTCATGAAGCTGGCCACCACCCGCATCCTCACGCCGGCTGATCTCGCCAAACTTACGGAGCTTCGCGCTCAGGCAGCAGCTAATGCTACCCTTCCGGGCAACAAGGGCCGCGTCGCTGCCCCATGGACCTCCCGCCATACCGATGACCCATTGACTGCTGGTGAGATTGAGGGTCTTGCTGCTCTGTCTGCCGCCAAGGCCACTCGTGAGGAGCGTATTGCCCACGCCAGAGAGGGCAAGACCGACCGCTCTGAGCATATGAGCAAGGAGGCTCGTCGCAAGGAACGCAAGGAGGAGCAAGGAAAGAGTACTACCAACAAAGAGAAGGCTCGCAAGAAGAACTTCCTCATGACGCTGGGCAAGGCGCGCAGCAAGAACAAGAGAAGTTTGGTGGAGACCCGTGCTGTGCTCAGGGCCCATGTCGATCGTGGCAAGAGAGGCGGACGAAGAGGAAACGTTGGCCAGTAATAGGCCTTTTATGTCCCTTTAAAAAATAATGATTGTTCGTTATATACAGTACATTACTTTTGTCATTGCATGTCGCAGGATAGACTATGAAGAGCATATACTTACCCTCAGTTATGACAGCCCATGGCTCTACGAATTCCACCAGTGAGTACTCCGTACAGTGGGGACTAGGTACTTCGTAGTAAGATGAATGTATAAAAGTATGAAACAAGTCCAGTAATTAAATGTCCGTGGGTACTAATAGTCCGTAGTCCGTACTATATTGGTCGACGCGATACTCCGTAGTGGATATGCGATCAACGCGTACCGCGTAAAGTGGCGTCCCGTTGCCTGAGCAGCCTCCATCTCCGTTTTTCCATTTTTCTTCCCCTTTACACCCCACTACGTCACTCCCTGGGCATTTTCGAGACTACACTAAAAGAATTGAATTTTCATACCTCGTTCTATTCGAAGACGTACCCGTGCCCCGAACCTCTTTTCCAAAATGCCCTCCATCAACCGCCCGATGCCACCCAGCAACAGCGACTTGTCAAAACGCCGACGCTTCCAACCTCCTATCACAACATTCTTTACATCTGCCTCGGAACCAGTGGCTTCAGAGACACCTGTAGTATCGCACCACCACCATTACGCCGCGGAAACCTTCTCTGCCCACCCCGTTGTGCCTGCCAAAGTTCAGTCTTCTCTTCTGTCTGTCGGAATGCGGGTCCGGAAATCTGTCGCAGAGGGGTACAGAACACAAATGTCCAAGACAGAAGAGAAGGCCCCACTTCCTACAGCTGTTGCTCAGACTCCTCGCGCTCAACCCTACCATGGCAGCCGACCCTCTGAGCTGTCGCCGTTTTCTGGCGCTGGCAAATCCTCCTTCGGCCGCGACGACTACCTTGTCACCGATGATGGCGACGCATACTCGATCCCACCAAGCAGCCAAGAGTCGGCTGCGTCATTTGCCTTGGGCGGTCAAAAGCGGGCTTTGGAATTAGATTGTGATATTCTCGTCGATGAGGATGCCGATGAATCATTCGACAATTTCGGCGGATCCTGGAATGGGAACTCACACGGACGGACCATCCTGTCCCCGAATTTAGGCCAAAGTCGTCGTATTCTTGCTGTGCGTCATGGCAAGGTTGAACAACCCACTATGGAAATGGACGACTTTGAGGAAGCTACGTTCCTTCGCCGCCGCGAGGAAGTCGATGCAGAGGATGTGCGAATGTACGGTGCTTGAACTGTTGGTCCTCGCTCTTCTTCTCTTCCTTCCCTTCCGAGCCACTGCGTGGCATGACTTACTATCTTCTTGCTTGTCCTTGGGCCTAGAATCGGTTTCGTTTCTTCTACCGGACTTGTATTATACCCACTGTTGTTTTATTTTGTACCATCTTTTCTTGTACCATTATCTTTTACCATCTGCTCTGCCATCTGCAGAGCAGTGAATGTGACTTATCAAGGATATCTGTTCATACTTTTAGATCCTTTCCGTTAGGGTTGTAGTCTACTTTGAAGTCTACTCCTATTGAGGGTGTATATGTCGTGCTTTACCTCCAGAGTCTGAGCAACTCAAAAAAAGAATCAGTATAGTTGATATTTGACATCGCTCAAGTCAGAAAGGGCTCGCAGTCAACTAGGACTAAATTTCGATAATACACAAAATAAATCAACCAGACAATGAGACAATGAGACACATGTTGCATACATAGGAAAGGCCATCAAACGTAGGATATATCCCTACATTCCGAGATACCTATGATACCAAGTCACCGACCTAGCAATCTTGCGCAGTATACTCGAACCTTCAAAAACCTCGGAAGCCGGAGGGGAGGACGTGTATCTGATAGCACCATAGTCTTCTTCTTGCGAGTACGATAATAATCCTTGTTGACAAGGGTAATGGTGTCCTTCAAAGCAGCGCCGAAATTAGCATCAACGTCGCGAAACTGTCCCAACTCGATATCTGGATATTCTTGCATGTCTTGCTTGAGTGAATACTGATTGATTCGATATCGAACGACGGGATTTATCCAAGTGTCACTGGAAGCCGTGGGTTTGAACGTACGGGAGTTTTGGAGAGCATAAGAACGGGAAAGAGAAGTATGTACTACTATATATATATATACGTCCGTACATGTACTAGTAGCTACTGTTACTTTCGGGTTTAGAGTTCATTGCTGTTCTTGTCTACGGAGTGCGCGGAGTATATTATGTCCTGGTCCACGGGTGACCCATGGATACCTAGGTATATAGGGTGTTATTTCTAATCGACTTTATACACCAGGGCAGAAATAGCACTAAGCTGCCAAGAAATATCAAGGATGATGTTAGAGCGATGTATCCGATATTTATGATGTTTCTTCATTTCTAAATCACTAAATGGAGCCCAAGTTATTCTTGCATAGCACATCAAAATACTTACTTTGCATGCTTCCAATTTCAAGCTCATGGGCCGAAAATCCCTCACCAGCCGAACCAGGTCCTGACTAGGCCATTGTCATCACGTCTGATGATACGAGAGCAGAGGGGGCCCAAGTTCACAATTTGGAGCGGAGACTTTCCAAAAGAGAAAGCAATATCTGATTGGATAGACGAATCGCGATGGGCCAGATCCACCATCCAGATTCTGTGTATTCTGATTGGTTCATATATTAAGTTATGGATCTGTGAGGCTCCTGAGGTCGCGCCATATGATGCGCTAGTCCCAAAGAAGACGCCAATATTAGAACTCGGGGCCTCATTGGCCAGAGGGTGCAGTGAGCCTCGGGCAGCTGTGATATAGCCCCGAGAGAATACATAAAAAGAATGATAATAGTTAGGCAAAAATTCTGAACTGTCATCCAGAAGCAAAGAATGCCAAATCCGGGAGAAAGGAAGGCCAGTCGCCAAAACAAGCACTCTCACATACCTCAGCGGCTTCAGTGCCAGTGCACGATTTTCTTGCATCAGCCTGGCAATCCCAACCCGCAGCTGAATCATACGACAGAGTCCGTGGGGATGTACTAGTCTAGTTGTAGGCTGGTGACATACTTGCTGGTAAATGGTGAGACTAACCATAGTAGCTATAGCGCTATCGGAAACGGAGAAAAGACCAGAGAGTTTAGCGTTAACTAGAGCATACGCCTTAGAGATATGGTAGAGGGTTTTAGTCGATATTGCTAATTTCCGGCGGGAGAAGTCAACGTAAGACGCGGATATAGCTAAAGTGCTATAAAAGTCTACGTTCCTCGTGGTTAATAGTGCTAGATAAACTTAATAGCGATGCTATCACTTATATGGCAAGAATGTAGTTGACCTATATCGACTTTATGATATCGAACTTAGTATAGAATTGCGGCGGAAACAGCGTATCACTAATATCAAAAAACCCTATAATTTCAACATCAGATACAAAAAAGGATATAGATGACTAGTCAGATTATGAAGGAAGCGTACATCGATATATAAGTGCCTTAGACTTAGAGAGCTTTTGAGGGAACGAAGTGAGACTCAGGTCGCCCTAGAGCACCTGTCGCGGGATCACGTATCCAAATCCTGGAGTATAAAAGGGGTTATTGAAGTCTGTAGCATTCCTATTTCTTGGTGGATCGGCACTGCTTGCCCGTATTCTTACCTCGCATGACGCGGGAGTGAATGGTGCTTCTGTCAGTGCGGGTTATCCCACTGGGAGCTTTAGTTAATGAATTGCAGCGCCATAGCAACTTCGATAGTTTCATGCTATCCTCATAGCAGTCACCAAACAGGTCCCTTCTTCCAGATATGGCTTTTGGATTATAGTGTTATTCAAAGTCCATACATCATGTCCACGGCAGGTTAGAGGATTCGTTAGCTGGGCCCCGGAGAAGCAGGACCCGTTCACGCCCCGAAATGCGGGAGGACTTTCAGGGCTACAGTATTTGAAACGGTTTATGTGATTCGATCATATAGGTTGTTAACCTGCAGAGCTTTGGAGAGTTGCGAGTTCCAAGGGTATTAATTTTCTATCAAAATTAACGGGCTGTTTGAATGGGTGTGGTTGCCTAACAAGTAAGGCCACCCAGGATGGTACCTACCTAAGTACCTACAATAAGAACTACATCCTGGGAGCTTGTCACTTGAAGAATACAACTACCTTCCATCTCCCCAAGCTCTATCTGGTTGACTCCAACGTAAACTCACAGTTTCTCTCTTCGTCCATCGTCGCCCATATTCGTTCAATCCTAGAACCTCAAGTGTCACGAAGAAGGTGCGGTTTTTTGACCTTTTAGCTTTGACTTTGATTTCTTGCTCTCGCAGCTCTTGTCAAAATGAACTCTGCAGCTCAGGAACCTCATGGCTTTCTTAAACGCCTGTCCCGGGAACTTAGAGTCTTTGAGCCCAACCATCCTTCCTTTGATGACTTCCAGAGGCTCGGAATTCAGGTATCCCAAGTGGCGACGGTCGAGAACGAAGTCATCCAATTTGACCCATGCTTCTTTCTTCCGCACTCAGAAAGACTCCTCCAGAAGTATCCGGTCGAAGCCGACCCCGAGACCCCGAGACCCACGACGCCGCCCAGGCTGAATGCAGTTCCAACCTTCGATCAACTTGTGGAAGAGTTGCAGGGGCGGCACTACTCGGACCAAGAACATGTCCTAAAAGCGTCAAAACGTCACTACGAGCGATATCAAAAGTTACAATTTGACAAGAACTGGTACAAGCAAGGCCTAATGATACAGGAGCACATCGACTGGCAACTTCATACGTACAGAAACATTCAGCCAGGGATATATTGCCTTTGGGACTTTGGAGGCCTGAGATCCTTCTAGTAAGTAGACAGCACAATGGTTTTGTTGATTTGCCAGTGCTCACCACCTCCAGCCCATCGTACAAAAAAGGAGAACCTCAACTTCGCTCTGGCTGGGCTAAAGGTTGGGACGTAAAGTCTACATTGCGATACAGCACTCGCAGCGGCACATTCAGGCCTCGCATGATCATATCATGTGTTGCGGATATTGCCATCAACGATACAGACCAAGGCCTTACTACCCCCGAGTTAAGAGCAATAGTGAACATGATGCTCATTCGAGTGAATAACAGACCCTTTCAGAACTGCCATATTCATCCAGTACGTCGTGCTATGTAGCACTGCAGCTCTCTCATATGGACCATGATCAACTGACCTCCTCGTTTTATAGATGCTGGTTCTCTCTTTCCTGGGCCAACAGAAGGGGAGAATTATTCAAGCCGTGTACGATGGCGAAGGTTTCACCTTACAATACTCGCAAGTATGGACGTTTGAAGACCCACAGACTGCGCCTGTGGAAATGTTCGTTCGGTATAATTTGGCCCAGCCGGTTGGCCTGGAGATGGCTACTCTCTGTGTTAGATAGTCGTCTATTAAAAAGCTCACTGGGAACCAAGTTCGCTTCTTTCCTCGTTAGCTTCCGTATGGCAAAATTAAGCGTCTAGCTGCCTAGGCGTTCCTTCTATCACATGAAGTATATAACGTGCAATGAATATCCGTTGCGAGCATGATCCCTTTCCTAAATGTCCCGCAGACCCCCTTCTGTCATTTTTTTTTCCATGTGGTTTTTGTATCTGTTATGTTCAGCATCGGCTGTTCCCAGACCTCCTAGATGCCATATGATACATATGTACGAATTATAGACCACTTTTATGATGATCGAGGCGCTGTTAGTAAGACTTCGGAGAGTACCTAGGTACTAAAATTTTCCCAATGAAGCCTTGACGAAGCCTTATACGACTTCCGTTGACACAAAAAGCTAGACCTAGGAACATGGCAGTTATTGGGAAGTAACAGGCAAGTCAGAGAGAAATGAGAGGAAAGAGCTAAGGGGTTGTGCCTTGAAGATTGCTGGACGTCCATTCATAGTCATCTCTCAGTACTTCCTAGGTATCTCCCGAAGGTCTGACTTTATCTCTCACTTCTTTCTCACTTCTTTTCTCGGTCTCTCCTCTCAGTCTCATCTACAATCCTTCCTGCTTTGAAACCAACATACAGACCTCAACAATGTCGTCCTCAAAGATGACTCGAAGCATCATATTCCTCAATACCTCCACGAATGGAAAAAACGTGCAGAAAAGCTGGAAGTCTGGGATACCCCGTTGAGCTGGCTTGACGAAGTTCATTCAGCGTCCAAGATGCTTGAAGAACAGTTTCTCTGCATGAGAGTACTTTGGCCAAAAGAGAAAAAAAGGCCACGGACTTACCCGCATCTACCTGATATGAGATCCGAATGATCCTCGATCCACTCTCCGTACATGAACACATCGGTTGGGGATAAAGCAATGACTGCGCGCATTGACGGGTATCTGGTGGGAACTAAAACCCCTGAAATCTTCGCTATTGCCGAGGTCATGCCCAGGGTCCGAAAAAGCGTTAAATGGCCTGAGCTTATGTAGTAGGAGACCGCTGAGATGGTCTCCTGGATACTGCACGATGACGAGGAAGCCCGAACCTCCTGATTACCAGTAAGTGACCTCGGATCACACTGTCCAATGGTTATGCCCTTAATGACCTTAATAGACGCCTCCTTGTCTCGCAAGACAACCATGAAATCTGGTTGACGCTTGCAACGTATAACCCTCCATATGTCCAATACGAAAGACGAACTTCCTCCCACGTGAGACTCTACACGACACACTGGTTCTCAAAGACCCCTGTCTCAAGGACCCTTGCACTTCATGAGGATGCAAGAATATTGTTCGCGGAACATTAAGAGCATGTCTGATATTCGGAACTTGCCGCGAATACTTGTGGGCTGGGCTTCCAAGGTCACAGACTTTATTGTCGGTTCTGAGCCTTACAAGGAATGAATGGTCAAGGATTTCTCGGTTGCGCGTTTGCTGGCGGCCTGCTCTACCAACAGCAAAGGGGTTGGGCCTCTTCGTGGCGCTGTTGATTAGTAGCTCCTATATGGGGTGAAGCTAACACAAACCCAAATCAAAAACCCGCATTGAAACCATACGTCAAGCCTATCGTTATGGGATTCAAATTCGTGGCCAGATGTCAACTTGCCGATGCTTAATCCAAGGTTACCTCTATGGTTATCTACTCCAGGGCTCCAAGAAGGGCTGAGATCTCAACTACGAGCAGAGCTTTTACACTCACCCATAGTCCGCTACCAACGTGGTCAAGTGCCTCTCTTTTTGATGCACCTCACCTTCTTCCTACCTTCTTCACGCGGGACTCTTCACGATCAAGAATCCGCTTTCGCACGCGGTCAACATGTCTTCCTTACAGCCTTTGTCCTTCTGACACCTCCTTCGGACCCTATTACCTGAGGTAATTGTGAGCCCTATCGGTCACCGAGTCTGGTTCTGGTTAAAGGGGAAAGGAACGTCCTATTCTCCGAGAAACCGCATAGTCGTAAGGGGCCCACATCTGGGCAGGAGCGTTGCACTCGCGTAAGGCACCTCTTACCCATTTTTCCCAGCGTGATGGCCACTTGAGAAAGGTCAGCAATGTTGCAACCCAATTGTCCGGGCGCTATCAGCTACTCCCAACGCGTGTCGCCCCACTGTCACCAACCGACAATAACAACGACGCAGAAAGTCGTTGTCGGACGAGGATCCGACGATCCCTCGTTCGCTCACTTTACAGTTCGGAGATCGGGGAGAAACGATCGGGTGTAAATCTCACATTCTTAGAATATTGAGGTCTGCCATCATACCGCGAGTTGGATGTCTTCAACATTCAGTCGAACTAACAATACAGTTTGCGAGGTAGACTATATTGTTCATTTCTTATACGGAGTCGTAGAACTGACAATATTACCCATGACTTTGAAAGCCCAGCCCACAAGTATTCTTGCCAAGTGCTTCATATGGGATGCATTGTCGATCTTTCACGGCCTATATTCATAGAGTTTTAGAAAGAGCAAGTTCCTCGATAGACTTGTAGAATCTAGAACTTGTCCTCTAACAGCTAGAGTCCTATCATGTACGAAACGTATTCTTCGTCGTATTCCGCAAGCGTCAGCCATATTTCGTGGTTATTCCGGGAGATCAGGAGGCATCTATAGATGTCAGTAAGGGGACAAGTATCCAAAGGTGCGATCCGAGGTCACTTTCTGGTGATCGGGAGTTTCTCGGGCTTCCTCATCATTGTGCAGTATCCAGGAGACCATCTCAGCGGTCTCCTGCCACAGAAGCTCAGGCCATTTAACGCGGTTTCGGACCCTGGGCTGACCTCAGTAATAGCAAAGATGCCGGGAGAATCGACTCCTATCAAGCATCCGGGTTTAATTCTGCGTAATGAAGAAACACCAGGTCACCGGCTTTGACCACTCTTGATAGAGAGGGTCCTGCATTCTGGTCACTCTTCGCTACCTCAGCAATGGCGAAGATGTCGGGGTTATCCACTCCCATAAGGCATCCATCCTCACGCGCAGCTATTGTATTGTGCCCCATCACAGAATCCCAGACCACTTCGGCGGTTGTGAACCCGACTTGACCTCAGCAATAGCGAAAATATCGGGGTTATGAATGTGGGCAGTTCCCACCGTAGAGACGATTTCACAAGTGGTATGCGGCGTACGAGTTGTGAGTTGGAAAGGCAGGGTATAATGAACTAGAAGTAACCTGTAAGCTGGACAGAATGTGACAAACCAGAGCCTGAATGTGTGTGTTGTGAACAAGTTGTGAGTTGGTAAAGGCATTATCCGTGTTTATATGAATAGAGACACGTTTGAACATGAATATTGCTCCTCGGATTCCAAGGTAGAGGCAGGGTCTTTGAGAACCGGAGGTTCCGTTAGGATCTTGCCCAGACGGACTTGGTCTGAAGTTCGTCTCCCACGTAGGTACTGGACATATTTCTAGTTGTACTGGTACAACAAGGCCTCTAAAAGGTCAATAAAAGCACAAGCGTCCGACGGTCTGGTCGGAGATCACTCACCAAGGTTTAGGACGCCCATCAAGGACGCTCTCCTTGCTTGTATATAGATAATCCAAAGCTTTATATCATCTGCTGTAGATGCTATTCGTTACTCACTGGACGGGGGCTTGATTTTATAATTATAACGAGGAGCAACAGTGAAAATAATGTGAAAGAATATCCATTTTTTGAAGAAATTATGTCAACAAATCAGGGTACCTTCAAGGTAATCCTGCGGCCATGAACAAAAGCAGTGATGAGATCCGGGAGATATCTAGCCAGCGCGGTGGTTTCGTCGTCCATCAACTGTAGTTCGGGGACCAACGAAGCAATAGTGGTATGGTGGGCGAGGCCCACCGCGGGAACGGCGACACCAGTGTTGCCTACATCTATTCCAATATTAGCATCATTCCTCAACAAAATCAGGGTATTCAACTTACTGGGCGCAGAGGTGGAGGCAGCGGTGGTGGAGGCAGCGGGAGGCGTGGAGGATTCTGCTTGCAAGATATTAGTATCACTCCTGGTAGATACAACATCAATATGTCGTGTGATACTAACCAGGGCCAGTGCTAGACGCAGGGGCGGCACCAGACGCAGCATCTGCACCGGAGGCAAGAACTTTTTCAAGCTCCTTTCCTAGATTGTGTTAGCATAGCTTTCTGCACAATGAGTGGCTTGAATACTGGACAGTACAAACAATACAATCTGCCTCGCAGGCTGTACGCTAGTGGATATTGAAGAGATTCAACTTGGGGTGTGATTGCAGATTGACTGTGAGGCTTACTTCTGATCTTTTTTCCCACGCGGGGGGGGGGGACGGGGTCGCTGGCGCTTGCGCTTTCCGACCTTGTTGGACTGTACCATCAATGTATCTCCTCCTCATCATTAGACCGTCTCAAAGATTGAGTACTCACAGTGGTGGGGGCAGCGGGGGGCTGATTGGTGGGCTGGCACGTTTGTCAGTGCATATTCACACCTTGGAGTGATGACATGGACATGGTGTGACTACACCTGGACAGACACGATAATCAACAAGGATAAGACTTACAGGAGTTTCTTTCTTGTCAGACATCTTTCTGTTGCTTACTGCGAGAAGGGGAAGAGAAGGAAGAAGAGAAGAAAAAGGAAAAAGGAAGAGGAGGGAAAGAGAAAGACAGGATCCCAAGGGGAAGGAGCGAAAATGGGCAGGAGCACTTCACAGTACTGCCTAGGCCTACATCAATGGATATATATGTGGTAACGGGTATTATTCTATCGTTCTTCACTTATTCACTTATCCTTCACTTTCTATTCAGTCCTAGCAATAACCACAAACGGTTCTAACTTTTATACATCTAAAGGTATACATGGGTACTGATCAAATGGATATATCGACACAGTCCCATTCCCCCCATCTTTATAGAGGGCAAACTTGAAGGTAAGGACGGAAAAATCAGAATTATGCGTAGAATAAGGGACTACGGCGCGAAATTTGGATGTGCATCTTAGAGGTACTGCAAATATTCATTTTGAAAAAGGTTTATCGACGGTCACCGAGACCGAGGTCATCCATGCCGGAGACAGTCCGCTCCCCATCGACAAACTCATTGATAATACTGGACAGATGCCCAGCGAGGGCATCTGCCTCCTCGCCAGTCAATAGCCTTTCGGCTAGCGAGGCAAGAGGTAGTTTGGAGGGCAAGGCATACCACAAGGATAGTAGCGGATCCTACCTGCAAGACATTAGCATAGCCCTAGATAGAGAGGGGTGGGCAAGATTGATATGTTGTGGGATACTAACCAGCTCCGGCAACATAACCAGTGTCAGTAGTCAACGGTAGGCGAGACCGAGGTCCTCCATGACAGAGGCAATTCTCTGCCCCTCCACAGACTCATTGATAATCCTAGGCGCACTCCTTGTCGGTCAATGGCCTTTTGGCCGGCGAGGAAAGAGTAGTTGGGCAAGGCCCACAGGTACGCGGAGGATGCTACCTGCAAGGTATCAGTATTGGACCAGGCAGATAGGGGTACAAGATGTATATGTCGCAGGGTACTAACCAGAGCCGGCAGTATATCCAATATCTGCAGCGGAGGTAAGAGCTTTTTCAAGCTCCTTTCCTAGATCTAGTGTTAGTATAGCTTCCTGCATAGTGCGAGTGGCTTGAATAGTTGAATAGCTGCACAGTCTAAACCAATACAATCTTCTTTGCAGACTATATGGTTCAGTGCCAGTGAATGTTGAAGAGATTCAAGTCAAGGTAGGATGGGAGGCCCAATATCTCAAGACTGTGACTTACTGCTGATAATTTCCCCTCCCCCCAAATCTGCGGATTGTAAGCGAGCCTGACAGTCCTGGAGACTCGCCCGCCTAAGAGATGGCGAGTAGAAGGTGATAAGAGAGGAGGAAGAAACCTCTAGGGGTGGAAGGTAGAATAGAAAGGGAAGGGAAGGAAAGGGAAAGGAAGAAGCAATTATAGGCAAGAACACTTCACACTACCTAAGTACGATCCATGGATTATCCTTCACTTTGTATTCATTCGTTTAAAACATCACAATGACCTACTTAAAATGCTGCATACCGAACGATTCTGTGAGTGACTCATAGTTCATACATAAAGAGAGTTGGAATATCAAACTGATCCTCCCCTCTCTTCCATTAATATCTCCCTCGCATCCATATAGTCCTCATCATCCTTGTCCAAAACAAACACTTCCTGTAGTTTATCAAGGATCTCCAGCACATAATCCTGACAATCCCACTCAATAGTCTCATTGTCCACAGGCACACTCTGTGCAACGCTCTTCACTCTCTCAACATCGTCCTCTCCAAGCACAGCAATAAAGAACTGCCTTAGGAAAGTGCTGGATTCCTTTGGGTTTTCCATAAACGTGTTGCGTTTGAATTGTGGATGCTCGCCATCAACTTCGATAATGTGATGTTCTTCGCCTTTCTCTATATGCAATGCCCAGTGCAAAAAGTTTCCGTAGCGTGGCCGGTAGAATACAACAAAGAGCTTTGGAGGCATCCTATTTGCTTGGTTTGCATCTTAGCTATGTTTGTTGTCATGGGGTTCACCAGTTCCTCCTACCTTGAGGTGGTACGTTTCCAGTATGGGTGCAGACAGAGTCTGGGAAAAGAAAGAGAGCAGCTACAGATTTAATGTAGGTATTTGGTCCTATCATGCATGGTTGTCTAATTCACATGCCTGATGGATTAGGCTTCCAGTCGAGATGCTTGGGGCCAATTTAGAAGTAACAAAGGAAATCAACATTACTTTCACTTGCTTAGTATTACGATTATAAAGTACAATCTTTAGTATATGAATATATGAAGATTGGGAACAAGCCCTTGGTAATATTAATCAGATGAAGTGGAAGATACCATGAAACGCCATACCTAGGTACACTGTACGCCCCGAAACATCATAAACATTAAAGTCATATGCTCTCAGCCAAAGAGATACTTCTGCCAGCTCTGTTTCCAAGGCTTCCAGGTCCCCCCAAACCGATGGTTGATACAAGCCTGCTGGCTATGGAAGTTCTCCGCTCCAGAATGCCGCTGTCCATTGCCCCACGCATTAACAGGTAGAACACATAGCCCTCCCAGCAGCTTGCCAGGCTTGGCCTCGGATCCCTCAACGCAGACAGGCTCTTGAATTCCATGGAAAGGCGCCCACGTCACACGCTGTACAGACGAAGCCGAGAACTCGGCGTCCGCGTCCACAGACTGCTGGACTAACCGATGTGTAGATGGCAATGTATCCGATAGCACGTCGAGAATGGCATCTGTAAACACGCCCGGCCCTGTAATCTCCAGCGTATCCATTTCGTTGTATCTCCCACTCCAGAAATATGTTCTGTCGGCTCGCTGCTTGGTGTGGGACAGTACACGGACAATGATCTCTCTCAGCAGCGGGCTGAACCGTCGTGGCGCATATATCGCGTACTGGATGAAGCCATACCGTCGGGCCCAGTGCCAGTCGCGCATCTTCTGCGGCGAAGCGAAGGGCTCGTCGATCTCAATTCCGACGACTAGCGAGACATTCCTGTTGACTGTGTCGTCTTTGAAGATTGAGTCGCGCAGTGATGGGCAGGTCTTGATGCTTCGTGCGGGGTATACGTCGAGATCTGCGTAGTAGCCGCCGTAGTACCATAGAATCAGGTAGCGGAGGAGATCGCCGCGGTGGACGGAGTGTGGATATGCTTTGTAGAGTCGGGCGATGTCCGGGATGGATTCCAGAGTCTCGAAAATGAATTTGTCAGCCCAGTCGGCTTGTACAAGCTGTGAATTCCAAAGTTAGTCGTCGTGGCTCGGACCCGTATTTAATTACCAAGATATGAATTGTTCGTCGTCGGACTTACCTTGTATTTCCATTCTGAGTTCTTCTTCTCGAATTGGATTGAATCGTCGCTTCGCTGGCTGACACCCGGTAGCATAATCTGCCACAGTGTATCTGTCGCATCCTCGTCGTGGCGCATTTCCCTTTCTATCTCCACAGCGCGTAGCGCATTGGAGAGCTCGACTTCATATTCATAGTCTGGATCGGCGCGAAACTTGGACTGGTGAAGATAACGTGGTCGGTCTTCCCCGTACTTGTCAGTGCGGGGGTCTAGGCTGGATGAGGGCACAGACTTGAAAATGATGAATAGCGTCAGGATCGCAGCCACCAGGACATATTTATGCCGGTTTGGAAACCCCAAAAGCATGCGATTCCTCATAGTGAGTGGTGAGAGCCATAATGAAAAATATGAGAGATCGTCCACTTAGGGGGTGAATTTTTCTTTGGGCTGTCAGCGTTAGCCCTCAGACCGTCTCTGGTTTCACCCGATTGGTGTAAACTACGAATGGACCCTGGATGATTTGAACTGGGGAGATTCACTTTTAATTGTGTTTGGGAATATAGCGGTAGGGATTATTCCATGTAGATATTGGGATGCTCTGTTATTTTGAGATCTATACTCTCCAGTTATACAAGAGAATAGAGAGTGAATAGAACATTTTGAACATGAACTTCCAAGCTTATTCTTCCTTTGTGGGGCTGACCGCGTGTGGATGTCTTGGCAGGGTCTTGGCAGGGTCTTGGTAATCTTAACCGCCTCAACTATACAATCGCTTCAACCTTGGCGATGCATCTTTTGTATAGCATCATTTTATAAAAGTGAATATGATATATGTGTTCCTAATGAAACTGTGAATCTAATAAGCACTACATCTTTCTCAATTCTTTCAAATAGGAAATACCTTCGATTTGATAAACCTCGATTCCCCCAGGGTCATCTTCGACGCGTAGAAAGCTTCGAATTTCGAATCACGTGTCAAGATCTAAGAAATAGTTCTTTCAACCTTAGACTAATGTCTCTGTCCCTTTCAGTTCAACTGGCCCTCATCATCAGTCGTACCACACCGTATGCGCTCTCTTCCATAAGGCAGATAACAAGGCCTTTGTTGGTATGAGTGACTTCCAATAAACGAAATATGAGACATAAACTTACAATCTCGTCTAGTACCATGGCGACCAATACAAGCAGTGGCTCAGGTTTGCTCCCGAGACAAGTTGCAAGACAAATTAGGCAACAGAAGCAAACTCGCGGCCGTCCAACGACCCGATCCGGTGTGTCAAACACTGAGAACAGTAACTACCGAACTGTCCCATTCCGCAGCCCTATCCGACCTGGCATGGGAAGCAGCCGTTTTGCGACTATCCCCAATGAAGCGGAAGACACCTTCGAACCTGATCCGATGGAACTTGACCCCATGGAAATCGACACTCCCGAACAAGAGCCAGCACCAGCCACCACCGGCAGTCGCAACGAGCAATCTGAGGAGAATGGTGTTCACCGTCACATCTTCTACATCCCCATTCGATCTCGTCCTATGCCAACTCTGGATCTCGACGTGCTGACCGCTGCTCGGGCTGAAGTGGCTCGTATTCAGAGAGAGGGAATCCCCGTTATGCAAACCCTGCCTGAGCGACCTGGTCCTCATCTCTACATCCGTATTGATACTGACCGGGCGAGTCGTGATCATGCTCTTGCTGATGCCAATCGTCGGATGGGCATCATGCAGGACATGATTCGCGATGGCTTTGGCTGGTTTACGGGTTTGCCTTACCGCCACCCGCATTTCGAGGTCAAGTTCCTTCGTGGTCGACGCCTCTAGATTGAGGGTTTGTGACTGGGTGTGTTTCTGACCTTTATGAGCACTGTTTCAGGGGGAGAAGTGGAATTGATGAGCTTAGTATGGGGTTTCGGTTGAGAGGGACTTGGGGTACATTGACAACTGTGTTCTTGGGTGAGCAAGATTCATTAGTTAGATCTTTTGCCTGTTCCTTTTCTCTGTCTCACCTTCTCTTTCTATTGCTCCTTATTTTATTCTTACATCCAGATACCACGAATACTATTCTTAAATGATATCACTATCATCCATGGACCACATAGACCTACATATGCCTCCTATATATGAAACCCGTACCCATGTGGGATTATTGGGTACCGGCGATTAATGGCTAACGCCTTACTGCCCACCAGCACTGCCACCGCCACCTAGGGAAGTTACTATTGCTTATAAGAATGCGAAAATAATCCTACAGGAAACCTTACGGCATGACGGAACTTGTTTTTGATTATTCTGTCAAGACTATCTGGAACTTGTACGCGATGAGTATCGGATTTCCCAAGAAAAGAAAGACAAATCATTTCAGACATTCTAACAACACAAAACGATACTGCTTCAATATCTATCTAACAAGATAAGAAGATGATCTAAAACTGCACCCAAAAACAGAAACTAAATGGCAACAAATACCTCCTCCCCTTCTTCCAAGGCGATATCCAACTCTCCAACAACAACATCAACATCAGCCTTGCCAAGGTCGTCCCTCGAAGGAGACGGCGTACGGCGTGACTCACCATCCGACAGTGAAGGAGTAGTAGTTTGAGCCGGAGAAAACACCGGACTCCCAGTCGACACCGTAGCAGAAGTAACGGTCGTCTGATCAGGAGCAGGTCTAGACACGACCGTATCAGACTTGATCGAAGAGCGCCGAGGCCCAGCCTTAGCCGGCGCAATCACTTCAGTCGCACCGACATCCTGTTGAGCAGAAATCTCCGCAAGAGCCGTCTTAACCAAGACAGAAACGGATCCACCGCCCATAGCCTTAAGCGTGGAAACATCAGCTTGCAACTCCCTCAGGAACCAGGCTCGAATATCGACTGCGACGAGAGAGTCAACGCCCTGCTCGACAAGTGCGACTGACTCGTCGATTGTCTGATCTTCCGTCATGCGAAGCATGCGCTTGAGATGTGCCATGAAGGCGTCACGGATGATAGCGTACGCTGCCTCGGGGTTCGGGGCTGTTTGGAGCTGGACACGGACCCGGACGCTCGTTTCGGCAGCCTGCACCTCTGACTTTGCCTCCTCGCGGGCAATGAAATGACTGAATTTTACATCGCGGTGGTGGGATTCCTTGACATAGAGATCTGGCGCGATGTAGTTGATGCCCATGACAACTTGGGGCTCGACGTTGTTTGAGCCCGGGCGCCCGGAGAGGATTGCTTCCGCGAACAGGATGTGAATATCTTGCTCGCTGATGTTGATGTACCCCGGGGAGTGGAAATAATCGAAGTCGAAAGTGTCGGAGTGTGCGGCATAGCCTACGCCGAGGACAGCGGGAATGTTCATTGCAGAGCCGGCAACGCCGCGCTTGCGTCTCTTGTTCACCAAGGACGTCATGAATTCGTTGGCCGCAGAGTAGTTGCTCTGTCCACTCCATCCTATCACAAATGCAATACTGGAAGCGACGACGAAGAATTCCAGCTCGGTGTCATGGAAGGCTTCATCGAGAAGGACATCAGCAGATGTAGAAAACAAGACCAGGGGGAAAAAAAAGAAATCCTTCCTTTGTTTAGCAAAGCTCTGATCTTCTGTTTTATCGCAATTATATCATTTACACCAAACGGACGGCGGCACTGTCACTTGATTCGACTTTATGCGGCCCTATTCACTAAGTACAATGGTGACCAACATTGGCGTCTTGCTGTCATTACTTGCCTTTACGATAGGCATAGAGGCCGTGTCACTTCCACTACCATTATGAGTCGTTCATCAGTTCTCTCTTCCAACTTATCTCAACAGCATTTTCGTCCGACCAAATGGCGACATCTATGTGACAACAGTATGGCCAAACGCATCCATATACTGCGTTTCCAATGCAAGCACAGACACCCCAACTACATCACTCGTCCATAACTTTGACGAAATCAATGCCGCGACGTCGATTGTCGAAACAGAGCCCGATGTTTTGGCATTCCTGGGCGGCAAGCAAAGTAGCCTAGGAATGTGAATCCCCGGTACATTCGGGGTGTGGCAGCTGGATCTTCGTCCCAAAGCACATGGTGGCTATCCTATCGTCCAAGAGCTTGTGCGCATCCCAGAAGGCGGTTTGCTCCCCGACTCACGAACTCCACTATGGAACCGGTCTGGAGAGTGGACACGCGCACTCGGAAATATGAACTCGCCATCAAGGATGATGAAACTATGCATTTCCCTGCATGGGAAGTGACTCCATTCGGGATCAACGGTCTTCATATCCTGAACGGGTATCTCTATTGATCAAATAGCTACCTGGCATCGGTGTATCGCATCGCAGTTAGCAAACATGGATATGCAGCGCCGGGAGCTCACGGCGAGCTAGTCAAAAGGCTCCAGGCAATCAAGATAGATACATTCTGCCTGGGGCCCGGCGATAACGACACCATCTGGGGTGCCACAGATGCAGACAATCGGCTTGTTGCAGTTACTCCAGATGGCACTGCCACTTTCGTTGCTGGTGCGCCGGATGAGATGACATTGGCGGGATCTGTAGCTCCTGCATTCGGCACTTTGCCTGGAGACACTGATACGTTGTACGTTGCGACACGTAGCCCTCTTCCTTGCGGAGCCCTCTTCCACACGGAGCCCGCTTCCGTCTGGGGACTACCTGATATGCGGATGCTGAAGACTGCCTGTTCGAGTCTACGGAGAGTGGAGGAGTAGCTTATCCCAATCTTCCCGCGGAAGCCGTGAAATCGGGGGCAGAATTGATCCACAGTGATGCTGGCCCGTCTCAGCCCGAGGGCTCGGAATGGAGCACAGGAAATCAGGCACTAATGGTATGCGGCCTTGGCCTTGCAAACCCATCGAGCAGTCTGAAATAATTCTTGAAATAGACCTGGGGTTGCGAGAGTATCAAAGAGCGGCAAGGGGTGAGCACTAAAGCGGAAAGGGAAAGCCATTTCGCTCGGTCTAGAATCCGGTGTATATGTACCTAGAGTTCGTAGTAGAGATAAAGAATAGAGTCACCAGTGATGCATTCAGTATGTCCCACAAACCTAAGTAGTGATCTTCAATGATCTCAGACACCATAGCCTCATAGCTTCATAGCTGCTGTTAACGCCATGACAAACTCCCGCAATACAATTCCCAGCCAATCCCATCAAAAGCAAAATGCCAGCCTTCAATCGTCCACTGGACGCAACGCCAATGTAGTCTCATTTTTCTCGCACCCCTGCCAAGCCCGTTCAATAGCCTGAATAGTAGGCCAGACCTGCTCACGAGCATCCTTCCGACTGACGCCTTCCTCAAGCAACTTCTCGTACGGCGTATGGACATGTCGAATATGCGCCTCAACAGCCAAGAGCGTCTTTCGCTCGTCGCTTATCATCGCTGTCCGTCCTACACGCCCCGATCCCTTAAGGAAGGCATGCTCCAGGACGATTTTCAGGGTTTCCTTGGGCATAAGCGGGAATTCGTTCATCAGGAGTTCTCGGGATTTGGAGAGATCCTTGGCGTCGCGCACTTGCACTGCATTGGCGCGTGATTCTTTTGTTGCGGCGGCTGATTCGAGAACCTCTTCGTAGATTTCTTCGGGCACTCGGATTCCCAGTGTTCTTTTGCCCGTGCGGTTCTAAGGCTGTTAGTGGTTCCTTTCTGGGCTTGAAACTGGTAGTTTGAAATGGGACATACGTAGACGACGTAGACAATTCTCTCAGACTCTTTGGTCTTACTGCGGCAGTGTCGAGTGATGTAGACATCACCCTTGGGGACTAGGACGTAGCCATCTGGCAAGGGTACTTGCTCAACGATGTTCTGATTCCATGTTTAGCGTGGTATCCTCCAATAATAATACGGCTCAAACTCACCTTCTCGAGCGGATCATCAGAGACAGGAATGAGCGCTGCCCATGTTTTCTTGGGTCTACGACGCTTCGCCGTCTCGTTGAGTACTTCGGTGAGCGGTTGAGCTGGCGAGCCTGCATCTATCGGACGTGCATGCCCTTCGCGAGTGCGGACACCACGGTTCTTCTTTCTCACACGTGGCTTGCGTCTGCGAACTTTGGGTTTAGTGGTCGGTGCCATGGTGAGTGTTCATGGAGCCGAGATTGATGAGTTGATGGTTGACACGGTGGTGAGATGCGACTCGCACATCGATTCCATTGAGGAAGGCGTTCTGGCAGCACCGAGATCTGATTGCCATTCAATGTTATTTTTGGACCTGAAACATTCCAAGGTCTTTGATATTTCCACGGTTTAAGGTCAAAGCAGATCAGGAACGGTGGCTGTGGAATCGTGGCACTGTGGCTGAGTGGAGCCTCACTTTAATGCCTGGATAATCAGGCCTAAGTTACAACAGGTTCGTCTTTCTCGCATGTACGAAGTATAAGGAATCAATTATAATCAGATAGTGATACTGCAATTATCCACTGCACTGTAGTTGGACTACTACAAAGTATAGAGATTTCTGGTTTCGGCCTTAGAATCCGGCAATTGCTGTTTCAGACAAACTCGGTACATCTGCTCTCCAAAAGTACAAGTCGGCTCCCGGTTTATTGTTGATCACAGACCCGACGTGAACAGACTGGTCAAGCGTGACCTGGTGATATCACACACGAGATCAGCATAAAATGGAGAACCGATTATCCGGGGCTCATTGGTCGGATCCATCGCCCTAGGGACGGATTCTATGGGATAAGATTGGGATCATCGGATCTCCAGATTGTGAGATCGGAGTTGAGTTTTGATTCAAGGTCTAATCCAAGACATTCTCCAACTTACGTTGCATCTACTCCGTAGTATCGATGTATTTCGTACAGAGTATAAACAATCCGAACAAGAACCAAGGCAAGGCGAGTAAGAGCGTGGGGCATGGAGTAATATCGTCCTTCGGGCACAAAGAGACGCCAAGAGGGCTTGCCCAGGGGCTCAGCTCTCCAAACCCTGATTAGTCCGTACCCCAGTTGAACACGGGGTTGATTTCCCCCTTTCATTCACGAGGCTCGAAGTGGAATATCCGAATAGCCCAATATTGTGATATTCTGATATTCTCATACTATGAAGGTCTGAAGCTCAAAACCTCTAGCATTTGGCTCCTCCATACAAGATATATCTGCATTGCACACAAAGTATATCTCCTCAAGTCTGGAGGCTCCACATCTCTCATGTCGTCATTGGTGAGATTTGGCCCTTTGATCTCCAGGGCTGCCTAGAAGAGCTGGACCGGCATCCCCGACGGCTCAATCTCGTCCGTATTGTCTGTATTGTTCCTAGGTCTAGATCGACAGAGGGGAAAGTCTGACTCTGATCTTTCCAAAGTGATAAATACGCATACGCTGTACTCAGACATAAACTGCATGTGGACATATGATTCATATCTTGTTCCTGCATGAAGCATAACTTACTCTGTACATTGTACTTGACACATACATCGAAAGATGAAAGAGCTGTGGATCTGTGGATTCTATGGAAAAATAAAAAAGTCCGAGTCTCCACGTAAAGAAACGAAAAGATAAAAAGAATAAAAAGATAAAAAAGGGAATTACCTGAATTGAAAAAAAAAGGGAAGAAAAAAAAACCAAACCGACAAACAGAGCAAAAGAAAAACATCTCTCCTCCGACTCTCCTACCAATACCACACTCCCTTATAACCTTGGAATTCTCTACACAATGAATTAATTCCAATGATAGTACTTGTTATATCTTCCTCTCATTCTCAATCAATTAAAGTTGCCTGGCAGCTTGATCTTCAATGGTTACTGGGTCTGTGTTGCTGACATGAGTTGGGATCACCCTGTCCACAGGTATGCATTCTCCCTTGATGAAACCCCCTTGTGGAGGTGTCACATTGTAGAGGCCCTCTCTTTTTTTATTTTTACAATCCATACTATATGCCTATGTGAAAAAAAGAAGATTGCTCATGGATTCGTTTATGTTCAGCTTCAACTATCCGAACGGTGAACCTCAAACTCCGACGAGGACTCCGAACACCTTTGACTCGTTTCACACCCCAAAACTCGAATCCAGCTTTTTTGACCCTCGGGTCACCTGGGATACCTCCGACCCATATGCCTCCAGCCCAGAGCTCCTCCGCACACCGCAAAAGTTCGGTCTAGGCTCGTCGAATTCACAGAGCGGTAACAATGGGGAGACGACAGGCTACAGGGGGAGGTCCTCGGACCAGACCGATACGGCCAGACGGATTCGCCCGGTGAAGCCTCTTCCGAATATGGGCGAGGATTACCCTCGGACAGTTGGATCGGCCAAGTCAGCAGCCTCAATGCAAACCCCGCCGCCGACAAGTGCATCGAGACGGAAAATCCCCGAGTTTGACCAGCCCGAGGGAAATACGCAGGGAGCAACGCCGGGCATGGGAGGTCATTTGGAAACACCCAGTCGTCTTCTCGGAGCGTCCCCTCGAATGTTTGGCAATCTCCAGTCGTCGCCCGATCTTTTTCAACTAGCTTCATTGGATCCCACGAGCTCGCCTTTCTTCCCACAGCAACGACTGTTCTGGGATAATGATCTAGACAATACAGCGAGCGAGGTTCCCTTACCCAGCAACAGTAACAATTCCAATGCCCGTCAGACCTTTACAAACACGCACCACATCCCCCAATTACCAACCATTAGTGGTTCACTTGATCTTCCCGACTTTGGCAACGGTTTTGGAATTTCAGCACCACCGCCCACTGATGCTGCCCTATTTCCTGCCCCATTCTCTACCTCTCCCCGGCTCCCGGTCACCAAGGCGGAGGATCCAGCTCTGTTTCTCAGCTCCCCTGCTCGGAGATTCGGAGGGCCTCAACTTACACCAGAGACACGGTCTCTTCGTGGCCTTCGACAGCCCTATCACCACCAAGCAGAAGAATCAAGACGGGAGGAGCTTATCCGTGCACAGGCACCAAATGGCCACCGATCCGATCCTTTCACTACGCTCCCGAGCGAGAGTGAAGAGGAAGATGACGACTACACACCGAGGGGAATACGACCTGGTCTCACCCGCAGCGTGACCCACCACGGCCTGTCTAGCTCATCCCGGCCGGTCAGTCAAGCCGGGGGCTTGATGGCATCCACTAGCGGAATTCGAAAGAGCCCATGTAAAGGGCGTTCGTCTCCAGCAAAACCGATGCGTCCAGCCCCCATGACACGCTCTAGTTCAGTGGCCACTGGCTCCTTGACGCGCTCGTCGTCTGTGGTGCTTCGTATCGGTCGAGATGGCCGCGCAAAGGCTGAAATGGAGCCAGTCAGTGAGGCGCCCACGGGCTTGACCGATCCCCTGACCGGGATTGACCTGGATGGCTCTACAACGGAGAGCGAATCAGATCCGGCTGAGTTCTCGGAATATCCCGTGTTGCACCGCGCTCAGTCGTCCTTTTCACTCTATGACAGCTCAAGGCGTCCACTATCCCGGAGTGATTCGGGCTCCCGGCCTCCTTCAAAGGGCTCCTACGCTTCCACAGTCGGCTCATCGCACTCAGGTCGGCTGTCACCCTGGGCTGGCTCTTCTAGGGGAGGCGGGCGAGCAACGTATCGTGGATCTCCTGATATTAAGCGGACACCCAAACGCCATTCGTCTCTGCTGCACTCAGACTCGACCTATACTCGGAGTAGCGTGGCGTCAGACCTGTTGCCTGGGGAGGACGAGGAAAGTGGTGATGCTCAATCCGCGCTCCGACAGGTCCTTAAAGAACGCGGCCGGGGACCAAGACCCGCCACAAACGCGTTTGGCAACCGACTTTCTCGGTCATCACACACCTTCACTCACCTCCGCTCATCACCACCCCGCCTTGGCAGTGATTTTGACATCCATCCCCGCCACAATGCTTCTCCCACGACCTTGACCGACCCTGATCTTACAACCCCAAGTACAGACCGTCACAGCAACCCCAGTAACGGTACACGGTGTGTCTGCCGCTCGATGGATAATGGTGGCCATCTCATGATTCAATGGTGAGTTCCAGTGTCCATCGGTCTTGATTCCGAAGTCGATTGAACTAACTTTCTCAGTGAATCGTGTACACACTGGCTGCATACCAGATGCGTTGGATTGGAGCGTGCAAATCTGCCCTCGGTCTATGTCTGCGTCTTTTGTGCTCAAACACCATCCCGACAAAACCGTGCCCGAACAACTTATGTTCCCACGGGGCAAGCCCCTCCCTCTCCCTTGGCCCACAAGTCATTGCGCTTCCGGTAAACTTGGTGCGTTGACTACCGTCTTGGATGCATATATGTCTTGGAAAGACCGGTGTCTCTTGATTTCTTTTGTGATTCCTCCCCCAACTGGGTTCTTTTACACTCTGCATTAGCCGGGCCACCCTGCCCCATTCCATAATTGCCCTTCTGTGACCCCATTGCCCCCTTATGATACCTATGTACTATTCCCTCACGAACCCTGGACAAGACCAGAATAGAATCATTTCTATACTTCTCCGCACATCTTATATTATTAGTGTTGTAGCCTGCAGAACTCCCCACATATCGGGGTAGCGAACCGGTCTCGGGTGAGGAGCCGGCCCGGCGCTGGCCTGTATGTCCGACGCCAACCTTGGAAGAACCCCCGACTTATTTAGTTTCGGAATATCCCATCGCTGCTTATTGCTCAATCTACCTCTCAACATTACGCTTATCCTTCCAACGTTCTAGTTGACTCAACCTCGACCTATTTAGAATAGGCCTACAAAAGTCCCTATCAGGTACCGGTGGATATTGTATAGATCTACAGTCGGATTGATTGGTCGATCCACACTTATCGGCTCACCGCCCTTTGTATCGAGAAGGCGCTTTTCTCCCCGCGAGTCATATTGCCCTCCTCTTTTTTTTCTTTTTGCGCACCATTCACTCTCTTTGGCTTCTTTCCCGTCGTTTTTGCTTCGTCATTCACTTACTCCAATGTCTGCCTCTCTCCCTGGCAGTCGGGACCTGCCCGCGTCGCAATATGACCTGAAGACCTACTGGGGTCGCGTGCGCCATGCCGCCGACATAGCTGATCCTCGGTAAGTTCAAGAGATCGGTAGCAATAAGAGGGTTGTGCAGCATATACTGATTATATCAACTATATTAGGACCCTGTTCGTTTCGTCCACCGGTCTTGAAAGCGCCAAGAGCCTCATTGCTTCTTACAAGCAGAACCGCATCCCGGCCATGACACCGGAGTTGTGGTCAGCGAAGAAGGTGGTTGATGCGACATTGCACCCTGGTATGGGCTCGTTCAATCTTATAAAACAGCCATTGGCTAATATAGAATCGACCAGATACCGGAACTCCCGTTTTCCTGCCATTCCGCATGTCCGCCTACGTGCTCTCGAACTTGGTCGTCACAGCAGGCATGTTGACCCCAGGATTGCAGGTGAGCACCTCTTTACCCATATCTAAACATATATACTTCTGAACAATATACTGACAATATAGACAACCGGCACTCTCCTCTGGCAAATCGGTAACCAATCCCTCAACGTCGCCGTCAACAACGCCAACGCCAACAAATCTACCCCCCTCTCCTTGTCGCAAATCGGCAAGTCATACCTCATGGCCGTCTCAGCCTCCTGCTCCGTCGCAGTTGGTCTGAACGCCCTCGTCCCCGCCTCAAAAGCGTCTCCCCAAACACCCGCCTCATCCTCTCCCGTCTCGTCCCCTTCGCCGCTGTCGCCAGCGCCTCCGCCTTGAACGTCTTCCTCATGCGAGGCGAGGAGATTCGTCAGGGTATTGATGTCTACCCCGTCCTGTCAGAGGCTGAGCGTGCCAAGCGCGAACTCAACGAGGACGCCGAGCCAATTCAGAGTCTCGGAAAGAGCAAGAAGGCTGCTACTCTTGCCGTCGGTGAGACGGCTATCTCCCGTGTCCTGAACGCTACACCTATCATGGTCCTACCCCCACTTATCCTCGTTCGTCTCGAGAAGACGAACTGGCTGCGTGCCCGTCCCCGCATGGTTATGCCTATTAACTTGGCGCTTATTCTGGGTACTTCGATCTTTGCGCTGCCACTTGCGCTCGCTGCGTTCCCGTCTCGCCAGGCGATTAGTGTTAATAGCCTTGAGGAGGAGTTCCAGGGTCGTGGCGGTGATCAGGGTATGGTGGAGTTCAATCGCGGAATGTAAGTTTTGGGTCTTCGGTGTTTCGCAGCGTGCATATTACATTGTCTTTGCATAGGTCAAAGAATATATAGATTCGGTTTCTGTTCATAAATTCCAATCCTGTTGTCCTTATACACCGTTCAATATAGAACAGGTGCCACTCTACCCTTAAGAATCCGCTCAGCCCGCTCCGCAATATCCAGCAATTCGTCATCCTCCCAACGCCGGCCCATCAGCTCCAACCCAACAGGAACACCAAGCACTGCAGATGCAGTCTGAGGACTCCGTCCAGCTGTATTTCCCACGTTAGTCCAATCCTAATCACCGAGTCGCACCACCTACCGGGAATACAAATAGCGGGCCTCCCCGTCAACGCAGCCAAAACACCATTCCGTCCAGACTGCTGCTTCGCACCGATCTTCACAGGGAGCTGTGTCTGATGCGGATATACCAGCGCGTCAATATCATACCTATCGAAACATTGTTTCACAGACTCTTTAAGCACAGCGATAAACTCCAGTCGACTTCGATATGCCTCGCTCGTCAGCGAAAATGTCTCGGGATCCTCTAGTGCTGCAGAGAAAACGTGCGTCATGGCTTGTAGATCGAAGTCGCCGCTCTGGGCAATAGATTCCAGTGATCGATGCGGTGTTTCCAAAACCAGTGCCGACTGCAAGAACTCGTCGAGATAGTGCTTGAACTCGAAAGCCTGTGTATCCCCCTTCGCAAACAGGGTCCCATAACTCCAGTCTGCATGACTAGATGGGGCGATAGGCACCAAGGTGATATCTGCATCTTGTCCCTGTATAGAATCTAGACTCGACCGGATGATCTCCTGCACGATCTGGTTCTCGGCGATATACTCCGCTTCCACAGTTCCATCTGCATGGATTTCAGGCTGGAAATAAGCCTCCAAGACTCCGATTCGAACTTGACGACCAGTCCGAGGTATCGTTCTAGATACCTCCATAGCATCCCCGTCTCCCCCATCCAGCCCCTTCATAACCCCATACAAGATCCTCACATCCCCAACACTCCTCCCCATCGGCCCGGCAACATCCTGTGTCTGGGAAACAGGTACAATCCCCACACACGAGACCCTCCCCGTCGACGGCCGGAACCCCACAATCCCGCATGCAGATGCAGGCGATCGCAGCGAGTTCATCGTGTCTGTGCCGCACCCTGCGAGCCCGAGGTTCGCCGCTAGCGCTGTGCCTGTCCCGCCAGAGGATCCGCCCGGTGTACGGGTCTTGTCGTATGGGTTCAGCGTTTGCCCGCCGAGTGAGGAGAGGGTTATTCCTTGCAGGGCGAATTCGTGGAGGTTGGCCTTTGCTAGGATTATTGCTCCTGCGGCTCGTAACTGAGAGACGACTTCGCTGTCGTCTTTTGTACGTAGGTTTTGCAGGGCTTGGACGCCTGCGCTTGTTGGTAGATCTGCTGTGCTGTAGTTGTCTTTCAGGATTATGGGCACGCTGTGTAATGGTGGGAATGGTTTGTTGGTTTGGTTGTATGTGAGTGTTTCGGTGGCTTTTTCTATGGCGGTTTCTAGGGCTGCGCTGTTTATGGTGATGAGGGCTTTGAGTGTCCCGTCATGCTGCTTGATTGCTTCGAGATATTTGATTACCAGCTTCGGGCCGATGGAGGGGTCTGTACGGAGCAGTTCATGGAATTTGGGGATTGTCATCTCTTCTGCTTGCCATGTGGGAGAGTCCATGTTGAGTCATTGATTGGAGAGAGCCCTGGAGGGGTATTGGAGTTCCCCGAATGTGCATGTAGTGTGATCCACGCAATTCACGCCATAAATATGCAATTCGCTTGAGTAAAGTCCTGCTAATGCAGGTTTTTCCCCGGATTGGCAATGTTAATTGTAATAGAAGTGAGCCTGTAACTTCCATATAAACCCCCCCATGGTGCATGCGGCCTCGGCTTACTCCGCTCCGATGTATACAAAAGAGACCAAGACGAAAGGGGTAAAAGAGTCCCTATACAGATCTGAGGAGAGTTAGAACATTGAAACGAAGCACATATATACACCCATACGGTTAACAGACGCCATAAACAATCAAATGGTATAATCATCCAGACTTAGCCTAAACCCTCCAGGGCTCCCAAAGCCGGATTCCATAAACGAGAAAAAGCAGAAGTAACCGACGCCTTTAAGAATGGGATAGAAGGATAGATAAAGCAAATAAAGTGTAAACCGGATAGCATCAGAGGATAGGTCCCTCAAAAGATACATGCAGCGGTCAAGGGCCAAGGGTCCGATGCCCCTGCCATGTGTCACAAAGAACCGAAGCATGAGATGACACCTGCAGGAGTCGAGGGGAAACCCAGGGACCGCAACGCAAATTAAAAAAGAAAGAAAAGAAACATCGTGATCATGATTTTCCCGAAGTGCAAACACCATTCCGTCCCGCGATAGAGAAAAAGATTACCCTCAAGATATGAGCCTTCTATCCATAACTGGATCCTGTTCACGCCGGTGAATCCCCTTCTGATGCCGTTGAAAAAAAGCCGAAATAGTGGCCACTGTAGTTGTGCAAACTGGATCTGAATCCTAGGTGCGTGCTTGTCGTTGCAATCCTTGGCCGATCCGGTAGGCTTCCGTGCCATCATCGACGAGTGTCTCCTTGAACCACGGGTGCTTCAATGCCTCCTTTGCAGTGATCCGGTTCTTGGGATCGTACACAAAGATCTGTTGCAACAAATCGAGGAATGAACGGTTGAATGGTGTGTTTGTAGGGATAAACTCCTATAGTAGACGAAATCAGTCAAAAAGCCCCATAAGCAGATATGCGGGACACTTACCGTCAAAGACTTCATCGCGCGTACATACTTCCGCGAGGCCCGGGTTGTTTCAGCGCCGGGATAGTCGATCCTGCTCCGGTTGAAGTACCTGGTAAAGTTAGTTCCTGTTACAGAAAGATTGAAGGGGACATATTTACTTGGAAGCAGAGTTGCTACTACCACCACCTCGGCCTGCCATGACTTTCTTCACCAAAGCGGTGTCGATTCGACTGCCAATGACGGCTTCCATCATCGCCAGGTGTTCCAGGTTGTCGTGTGTCTGGAACAGGGCGTCTCCAGTGTAGAATTCCACCAAGATACACCCGATACTCCAGATATCACATGGGAAGCTCCAGCCCAGGTTCAATATGATTTCCGGGGCCCGGTAATGACGGGTAGAGACGACAGATGAGTGGTATTCGTCATCGAAGGTCGCCGAACCGAAGTCGATGAGTCGGATTTCACCATCGAGGAGAACGCGGCGCTGACGCGCGTTACGAGATGTGGCGTGGGAAGAGGATGGTATAGTGCGGTTGTAAGTGAAGGTTTGATAGGCATTGTTGACGAGGAGGATGTTTTCGGGTTTAAGGTCGGTATGGATAAGGTTTAGGTCATGAAGGACTAATAGGTCAGTTGTCTGAGATAAAGAGAATAGAAGTGTCGGAGAACTTACAAGCAACACTTGTGAACAGCTGCCGGGCAAACTGCTGGATCTGACTGCTTGGGAATGGCACAAAGCCATTCCCCTTGAGGAAATCAAATACGCTTTGTCCTAGTAGATCAGTGACAATGCAAATGTGATTCCGGAAGTCGAAGCAGTCCCGAAGGTGGATGCATTTGTTGCGGTTGTGTTTGTCATTCGAAGCCAGAGTTGACAAGACTCGCAGCTCGATTCGAGATGCGTCGCGATACTTTTGGATCGAGCGTATGATTTTGACTGCACAGCGAGACTTGCGCTGCTTGTCGAAGGCTTCGACAACTTTGCCGAACGTGCCTTGGCTAGGAGTTTAATCACAGAGTCTCGAGAGGAGTTAGCATGGTCAACAAGATACTAGAGGATATCTCTACTCACATCGATCTGTCAATGGCGTGTCGGGTGTGACAATGTAATGGCCGTCGTCGTCGTCAAACTTCTTGTTCTGGGAACTGGTGTACTGATCGGGTAAATCTTGTCAGCTTTTGTACGAAAAAAAAAAAAGGTAAAGATGATACACTCACATCGCGAACGACCGGCACAGGGACATCCTTCGCTTTGATCGGCGGCTTCGGGGGTGGGACATAACTCAGGAAAGCATCATTTGCGGTCTCCAACTCTCGTCGCTTCTGCTCATCGCGGGTGGATTTCCGGGTGGCGCGTTTCCGTTTGTTGCCGACAGCGCCATCCTCATAGTATACACCATTGCTCGCCCCGGAACTGCCCTGTGAACCAAGCGAAGTTGGAGCTGTTGTGTGTAAGGATGCGGTTCGATCGGTCGATAAGGACGTGACGGAGGATTCCTCGCCGTAATGCTGGGGATTGATTGAAAAGGACGGGCGGTCATAGTGGCCCAGGTCATAGGCGGTATCAATTCCCGTCCGCCGCCTCTTTCCAGCGGGCTGAGGAGCCGCAGGAGGTGGTCTGGCAGAAGTAGTGACATGAGGAGCCGCGGCACCATTGGATGGCTCTGGACCAGGACTGTCATCAATCACAATGACTTCCTTGGGAAGGCCATTCTTGTAGAACTCGGTCCAGTCTGGTTTCTTTCTCCGACCCCCAACGGAGGGGGCCGCACTAGAGCCACTCTGGTGGGTCATAGCGGACGGGGTTGTTGTCGCGGGAGGAATTCGCGGAGGTTGGGTGTAGGGAAGGGTGGTCGTTGTCGGAGAGGGGACGGAAATGGCGTAGGGATTCGCGAGGCGAGTTCCTGCCGCGGTCGAAGTCGGGTAGGAGGTATTCGGTTGATACGAAGGGTGGTGAGGATATCCGTAAGCCTGATGATGAGAAGGATGTGTTGCAGTAGCCGTGGACGGGGTGGACATTGTGCACGAAGGTATCCCGTCACACGAACGGTATGAAGGTTATGAAGAGAAGATTGGTCTAATATGTGACCGATAGTTGATGTCGCGCGTCACTTCCTCGATGGAGACGAGGGGTCTCAAAGGCAGGACTAGCCAGCCAGAGAGAAACCTAGCCAGAGATTGAGGTTGTCAAGCGTGTCCGGAAGGAGATCTCTGGAGACGTGAAGATGACGGGCTGA